AGTTCCTTAACAGCAACCCATAAAGTCCCAATACCTTGGCTTGCCAAAACGAAGCCAGCTTGACTTACATTTGTCTCGACAGTAGTTGGTCTTCATGTTTCAACGTCGCCGAGAACCATCGCTAGCTTTGAGGCTCTTCTCTTCGCGTTGCTGCCATGCAGCGATGCAAGGCAAGCGAGTGAAGAGCCCTCAATCCTTGTTATTGCTGGTTGTTAGTATGGATCGGAGGAATGGATCCATATAGCAGCCCCGATGAAATCTCAATATTCCTTTAGTTTCCATGTTATTTTCCATTCTGTCCTTCATTCCCTACTGGCAACCAACAAGTTGCTTCTTGAGCGAGGTTCTGCTTGAGCCTTTCGTGCCACAAAGTCTCAAAGGGCGCATTTACAAAGACTTGAAGCAGTCACAGACAATGCGCGGATCAAAAAGCCGTTCAGACAGCTGAGAAGCTTTTCCTGTAAATGTCACACAGGATCAGCCTAGATGAGCTCATTGGCGCAGTGATGCAGATAAGTTGCGATTCGTGCAGCGAACTGGGCTGCTGTTCAAAAACTTATTTCAAGCACACAAATGTGTGCCTATGTATGTAGTCAGCAGAGGTACGTTCCACATTGCCTAAACTTAAGTTCCTTAGCAGCAACCCAGATGGCTTACTCTGATGCCATGCCTCAAGCAGCCAGGAATGCGTGCACACCGGACTGAGACCACGGTAAATGCCAATGTGCAAAGATCTGAACATGTGCCTTCCCCCTGGTGCCTCCGTAGCGCCCTACAGTAGAATTGCACATAACCATCCCCCAGACCCTAGCAAGCTTCAGCAACTCTTCTCTCAACCTGCACATGCACACATGCACCGGTTACAAGCAGTGCAAGCTATGATATCTCTTGCTGTGGTTACTAGTCTGATGATGTCAATGAGTTTGCTACTGCCCGGTGAGGTCAGGGCCAGATTGCATTGAGTGGAGCGTCAGGCGGGCTTACAAGTTTACAAAAAAAAGAACTGCGGTTGTCATTCGGCTTATAGCTGTTACGTTTGCAGTATTACAGTATCCTTGCTCAGACTGGCTAAGTATCCCTGGCCCCTGACCTTCCAAGCGGCCGTGAACGTTGCTTAATGCTGGTGGGACCGGCCTCATGGCGACTGCGGGGAAGCCTGGCGCAACGGGCAAGGCTGCCAGGGAGCTGGGCGGGGGGCTATCAGGCCATATGGCAGGTTTAGGGTTAAGGGTTTAGGGTTGTGTAGGGCTTTGTGTATGTGGCAAATGCATGGCCCCTTGTTGCTATTGTACCAGTCGCAGGGCGAAGAAGGATGTGTCTGCACAGGGTAGCATGAAGGGTGGCAGTAGTGGGTAGCATTTGACAGAAAAGTCCCTTACCCTTTTGCAGTAGAACCAAGGGAGCCATACGCACGAGAATGCAAGCCTGACACCTTCATCCCAACCCCCAGAACCCTGAACCCGAATCAGATTCCCCAAGCTCCAGAGCCTGGACTCAACCCCTACTCTTAGAATACATACAAGCCTATACCCAACCTAAACCCCATTCCAACTCTAAATCCCAACCGCCCAAATCCCAAGTGCCCATAAACCCTATAATCCCATAAAACAGTAAATCTTCAAACGATATCATCCCCCATGGGTCTAAAGCCCACCCTGAAGACCCTAAAGCCTGAACCCAAGGCCAAGAGTCCTACAACCGGGCCCTTTGGCCCCTTTTTCCGGCTAGACCCTAAAAAGTACATACTAGGGGCCCATGGTTTCAACCGTAGACCAATTCTAAATCCTAGACACCAGACCTTGCGAAAGCAACCCCAAACTCCACACCTTAAACTGACTGGTGGTGGTTAGTAGGGACTTTTGGAGCACAATCCCTACATAATCCTTATACAATGTTTTCCCTTATTCCCTACTACCAACCATTAAGTACACCCGAAACATGAAGTCCCAGCAGGTAAAGGCTTCCTTGCGATGCGCCTCACCAGAGCCAGAGGAGGACTCCTATGTGGTCTAGGGCTTAGGGTTTAGGGCTCAGGATTTAGGACTTGGGGCTAAGGCTTAAGGGTTTAGGTCTAAGGGCTTAGGGTGAAGGTGCTAAGTAGCGGACTGTGGGGCTGTGTTGGCTTGGGCCCTCCCGCTCCCCTAAATTGATAGAATACGAGTTAAACTTTGCTAGGAGCTTGTGGCGGAGGAGATTACACAGAGGTTTCTAGTAGAATTCACGGAGCTATAGAGATCAGAGAGACCTATGACCTCAGCATGACGATTTCAGGATGTCTTCGGTAGCTTGCGCCGCAAGCGGCACGCTGCAAGTCGCAGTCGCAGCCGCAGCCGCAGTGTGGAGACGCGGGAAAAGCCCGTGGTGGAGACCAAGGTGCGGAGGGCTTGAGGTTCGGGATGATAAACAGTTTATATGAGTTGTAGTCTAAACTCCTTAAAGGCTGTTATAAAAGGGATTATATGGGGTTTCCCAAAATTAGGGCAACCATATTGGGGGGTCCCTATAATAAGGATTAGAGTTTTTGGGGTCTATCTTGGGGTCCCCCCATTTTGGGAAACTACCATATGCGTCTGTGCCTTGTACTCCCAGTCCACCCCTGCACCCCCAATGGTGTGGTCTCCATCTGCTGGGGATAAGGCCATATCCAAAAACTGTACTGTCCTGAGGAAATATTTTTCATCTTTATTATAGTATAACCCTACGGAATTATTACAGATATTTTTTTTTATTATAGGTCTAAGGAGACTACAGAAAACCCACAAACCATGAACTATGAACTCTCCGTACTGTATAAACTCTCTCTGAACACTACACGCATACACCACAGGATCCAGGCCACAGAACCACAGGGGGGTTACCTCAATCAGCCCTCTATGAAACGCTATAAAGCCATCATGAACCCTTTAGAAGTTAGGAGCCATCCAGAAAAGATGTTCGAACCTTCTATCAAACCTATGAACCCTCTGAAAACCTCCCATAAAATCTTACGAAGCCTTTATAAACACTCTTCAAATCCTCACGGAAAGCCTCTTTAGCGTGTACTAAACCTTCTAGGTTTTTACGCTTCCTATAAGCCACAGATAAACCTGCTATAAACACTATAACCCTCAATAAACCTAATCTAAACCATAGGACCCAGATCAGAGCACAGGACCACAGGACCAGCGGGGGATTAACATTTTAGGTACTTTAGTCATGCTCTAACGGTATAGGGATTGTATAGGGTTTAGCGCTTCCCGACATGACATAGAACCCATTTAGCTGCCCATTTATCAAGGACTTTGATCTTGATAGGGCCGCTTTTTGGGGTGCCATTTAATCCCTCTAATATCGCGCCCTCCCCACTCTCAAGTTCCAAGGCTCTGATAGGACCCATAATTTAATTTCATGTGGCAAGGGGAAGCATCTGAAACTCGGGGGAGACGGCTCCTGTTCTTCCAGAGTAATTCGCGCCCGTAACTTAAGCGTGATCGAAATGAGCCGAGGGCGGGGACATTCGAGGGTGTTTCTGTGCGTGCTAGCGAAGATCTATGTTGTGAGGGCAGAGTTTGCGTGTTTTAACCTCGTTGAGGAATTTTGGGGGGGGGCAAATGGCCAACTATTCTGGGGTGTATTCCCCTTGTAAACAAAAGCATCGCGCACCCTGAAGACCGCTGTATATACCTTGAGCACGGTGTAATATGTGCATGTGTATAGTATCTGTACATGTATGTGTATGTGTGTATACATACATACATATATATATATATATGCATGTATACATTCGTCTTGACTTTCATCGACCCAGAAGAACATGCCTTAAGAAATGGCCAGGTAGCAGCAAAGCGAAGCTGCTTGGTGCAGATCAAGCGTATCCCAGAATAGAGGGAGGATCTACATGTGAGATAGGCTATATGAATCCCTCATTCCAAACGCATCATGTCCCTGTATGTTTTCTGGGATCTCTGATTTGTAGAGCATTTTGGGGGTCAGAGACTGGCATTTAGTAACAGTCTTCAATGCAAGAGGCTCGACATATTCAAATATATATATATATAAATATGTGTGTGTGAGAGTCGGGATCCGCATAAACTCATTCCAAATCCGCCTATCCTTGCGGTGGATATTGGAAATCCTGCATGACCCTGAGTAGCTTCCACCTTTGGCCTTGTTGTGTTATGGCATACTGAGGCCACGCAGGTTGCTTCGTAAATAACAGCATCTCCTGGGTTTCGAGAAGCCAAAATCTGTTTCCATATGAGCTGTATTCTAAACTTCTTAAAGAGGGGTCATGTAGGGGAGCATTATAGGGGTTATTTGGGGGGGATACCATCAGTTTAGATTTTGGCTCATCTTATCAGTTGCCAATTTGTATTGAAGGGAAAGGTACATCGGACCCTTCGGAGCCCATGTTTTCATAATACAGATGTAGCAAACTGCCGAGAAAACCTCATGAAGGGGTCTCTTGACATATCCCTGGTATACGGCAGTCGCCAAACGTCCTTTTGAATGCCATCCCGCCAAGTTATGCAGGTAAGCTGCCAAGATGTAGAGCAAGTCCCCTCCCCCGATGAATAAACTCACGATACAACAGACGATCTGTTGTTGGGATATTTCCGGTGGGGGATCTGTTTGCTAGTGAGCTGCTAGTATTGCACGGGGCTTTGATGTGCCAGTGCATTCAGCAACACCAAGGACAGAAGGAGTTTGCCTGGATGGATTCAGATGATGAAGGTTCCGACAATGGGGAGCAAGAAGAAACAGAGACGAAGCAAGACGAAACTGGGCTGCGGTTAGGGAACTTGAAGCAAGTTACCATAGTACAGACAGCCTATTATTGCCCACACATTTTTCTATACATCCATGTTTTGTTATGGCAACTCACGTGAGCTACGGACTAAATTTAGGTTGGGGGGACCTATAGGGGACTATACAGGGCTTTGGGTGGCTATTAAGGGATATACTACAAATTGAGTCCAGGGCTCACGTGAAGTTCACCAACAGCAACCGAGGAAAGGCAAAAGTCACCCAAAGCTGATCGGCAGAGGGAGCCGCTTAGCTGCGCCAGCCTTTACCATGGGATGTGGGACCGTTTTAGGGTTTAGGAGCTTAGGGTTTAGGGGACCCCTCCCCCAGAAGGGTTATGTTCTCTACATTGACCTCGCTTGGTAGGAGGAGCGCGCTGAGAGAAAGTAGTGCAGTCCCCCAATAAGACCCTCCCCCGAACAACTCTCGCGAGGATTACGTCGTGGGAGAATATTTTGGAACATAATTGTGTACTGACCCCACCCAGTTTCAGTGGTACTGTGGAATATATGGGCCTGAGTAGAATTCCCATTATGCCCCGTGCTCACCACTAGTGTGGGGCCCTAACCTACGACATTTACTTCTTGGCAGGTGTGGAACCTCGGCTTACTGGGGCAGAGTAGGGAACATGGGAAGATATCATATACAATTATATAGGGATTCTACTATTCACTTCTTCCCTACTAAGAACCATTAAGTAAACCCTGAACCCTACACCACGTCACCTTGGGGCCAGGGCCAGGGCATTAGCAGGCCAATGCCTGGCCTTGCCAAAAGAGGCACTGGCGCGACATGCCATAAGTCGTGCGGATGCCCGGAGAGGAGGTTAGAATGGTTAGGAACAGGAAGGGGACCTCATTCCCAATACGTATGTATATATATATATACCACAATGAGGGGTATTTGATATCAGGGTGAGTGGGGCGGGGTATAATATTTGAGGGAGGGGCTTAAGACATTTTGAAGTAGGAAGGGGCCCCATAATGTATTTACCATGTAACCCTCTTATGACGGTTTCTGTTTTAGTTCCTTAGAGCACCCAGTTTTAAGGCGAGACGACAGCGAAAATGAAGCAGAACGTCACGCGCCGACACCCACAACTGCAGCCGAAGTTCAGACTTTAGGTCAGATGATGCGCTTGATGGAGCTTCTTGATTGCAAAGGATGGGGTGTAGGGTTTCGGGATTAGGGGTCATCTCACGCATGTTTCCGAAAGCAGCAGATTGAGGTCCTGGCAACGGCAGCGTGGAAAAATCCTTCGTTTGCCTATGCCGGAGCTGTCAGAGGTCTGCCAAGCAGCTGCACGGGTGAAATACTATGATGCCGGGAGCTTTGCTGACATCATGGCAGCGGTGAAGGCGGTATCCAGGATTTAATGTAGAAGCATGAGTAATTGCCAACAGTATTTCCTTCTGCTGCTTGTATAACTGTGGTTAAAGATGCACCAAAATTCTTTTCCAAATACTTAGGCCCCTACATGACAGAATCCACATATCCCTCCTATGTAAGCACGGTTTCGATTTCATCGCTCATTTAAGGGCTAAGGATTCAAGATTGGGTTTGGGGGTTTAGGGCCTGGGGTCTAGGGTTGGGGTTTAGGGCTTAGAGTTTGGGGTTTATCGGTCAGGGCTTGGGGTTTAGTGAGGGTAGTAGTTAGACTCTGGCAGGTTCACTTGCGCGGGCACATATCGCTTCGGCCAGATGACATTGCGGGCGTACTCAGCGGCTTGGCAGACGTGAATGGCTATGCATCTTGGCGTGATTAGGGCATAGGGCCCCAAATCAGAAGATCCTACAGTAAATCCCAAGTCCTAAACCCTAAATCCTAAGCCCTTCACCATTAACCCCTTAAAAGGAACCCTGAGCTTCTTGGATGGTCTTCTCCGTTGTGGTGCCCCCGGAATTTCGTAATGCTGGTTCGTAGGGAAGGAGACCTTTTTGTAGCTGTAGCCATAGCAATTAGAGCTTCAAGTCCTCGCCCGTCACTCCCTACTTTCCTGTCTTGCGTACCTGAGCACGGTCTTACCACAGTACACCCAAATGACGACCCTCAAGTGGCATGTGCTGGGCCGACAGGAGAAGGAGCTGCTCCTGGGATAGATTTGAACATACTTTTGGAGATTTAGGGTTTTGGGGTTTGTGGTTTGAATGCAGGGATTTCAAGAAGTTATGTAGTGGTCCTTCTCGGGGAGTTTCTATAGATAGGACTAAGGTTTTGTGAGGCATACACAGGATGATTTCTAAATTGCTGCCAAAATTTCTATACATGGATAGGAGTTTGCTAATTATGAAGAGCTTCCAAATCAGTTTGACTTGAGTTAGGTCGCCCCTCAGTAATATTAGTCGTACTGTGAAGGGAATAGTATATAGGGACCTCAGTATGACTGAATGCCATTCCCCCTTGGGGTCACTCTTAGTGGCCCCTAAACCCCACACCCTAAACCCTAAGCCCACCTAAAGCCCCAAACCTGGAACCTTGAGGTTTGACCTGGCAGCCCAAGCATTGAACCGCACGACGGGGCAGATCCTGCGGCCTGCCAGAAAGGCTATCCTGGATGCATTCAAGAAGGCCAGGGTTTTGGGTTTAGGGTTTTAGGATTTAGGGTTTTATTGTTTTTGCTTTTTTAGGGTTTTAGGGTTTAGGGTTTTGCTTCTCGTTCAGCTTCTAGCATCAAGAAGATGCTTCGTCAAATGCTCCGGCCTCAGTCCGTGACTCAAAAAAGGGTTTGGGGGTTTAGGGTTTAGGGTTTGAGGGCTTAGGGTCTTAATACACTCGGGTTCCATATTTTAGGTTCCCTTATTTTGGATACTACTAGCTTGGCATGCTGACAGACATGTCAGGTCAAGCACCGCACGGATACGCACACGGTGCTGAGGGAGATGTCCGAGCAGGAAGCAAAAGCTCGATACGAGGACAAGTGCTCTGAGGCGGAGCCTCCCTTGCCAAGGAGAAAATGAGCTATAGTCTAAACTCCTAGAGGGGGTTATATAAGGGATTGTATGATAATGGGTTAATTAAGGGAGATACTAGAAGTTTGGCTCCGCCTGCGGCAAGTGCCCGGGCTCCCCGGGCACTTGCCCATAAATCGCGTTCGTGGTCCAAAAGCATACGGTCACCAGGGCATCCATGCCCAAACCATGATTCCGCTCGTGTTCCAAGAGTATACGGTCACCAGAGCATCCATGCCCAAGCCATAATTCCGCTCGTGTGCAAATAGCATACGGTCACCAGAGCATCCATGCCCAAGCCATAATTCCGTTTCTGTTCCAAGAGCAAACGGTCACCAGAGCATCCATGCCCAAACCATAATTCCGTTTGTGTTCCAAGAGCTTACGGTCACCAGAGCATCCATGAAGGTCCAACCTCCTTTAATTAGGGAAGATGCTTTAAGTTATACAAGGGATCCCTCATATTATTAAAGGAATATTCCCCAAGTAAAGGATATTGGACTTTTTGGATCTCTACTCCAAGCAAGTAATGTCTATCCCAAACTGCCATCAAACACGAGAGCTCGCAAAGGTTTTTGAGGTTCCGAACAAAGACACATTTTTTCGAAAATCTTCGTCATGACATTCCAGCTCCAAAGCCTTGCAAGAAGCCGAAATACTGCGCCTGCCATGCAAATTCAGCTTTTCTCCACGTATCATCCTCAATTTGACTGGCAGGCGCAGTATTTTCTGACCCTCTACTCAGACCAGTCTTTTAACGGCATGACTCAGAAGCATTGTACGGGAATGAATAGGTTTTCCTATGGCAAAACCACGATTTACCTTATTGACACGCATCAGTCACCGTGTGCGTCGGGGCCTGGAGTCCGGCCAAGATGTTAAAGTGGCCGCGGAAAAAATCCAGATCTTTTTCGCGAACGATTATCTCATCACTGGACCACTGAACTATGCGCTTAGAGGCTGAAATACTGCGCTTGCCAGTGATTTTGACCCTCGGCCGATNNTGATAAACCCATGCCAAGACCCTGATTCCGGGCACTTGGCGAAGGCCGCGCGAGTTTTTTCACGACGGCTCAAATGGAGTTTCCACAATCAAAAAGAGTCCGTTTTTGATGGTCCTCATATTAAGGATACAGTATTCTGAGGTGGGGCAGGTAGTAGCGACCCCTCCAATGGAAATCCCAAATGGGTATTTGCACGGTACATGTGAGTGTTATGGTCAACGCTCTCAGAATGGAACAGGATTATTAAGGCCAGTTTCTCCCAACATTTCTAGTTTTTCTGTAAACGTAAACCTTGAACCCTAAGCCCTCAAGTATAAACGTGGTTCTCTGCATGTCATCTGGTTCATGGTTCTTGGTTCAGGGTTTGGGGTTTGTGGTCTAGGGTTTTGGTATTGGGTTTAGGGTTCGTCATTCGTCATCAGGGTTTAAGCCGAAACCCTAGACCCCCCGGGTTTGCCTCGTACAGTTTGGTTCCAGGCGCCTGAAAAGGTAGCTGTTGGCATACCAGGCCTAGATTTTCTGATGTCCCCAAGTCATTATATAATTGATGGGGTTTCCCAAAATTTGGGGTACCCTTATAGGAGTTATACAGGGTTTAATAGGGCTTTGAGTTTCACAAGTTAGGGGTACCTCGTCGGAGGTCCCTATAGTAAGGATTAGAGTATTTTGGAATCTATCGGGCCTATTAGGGCTTAGGGTTTAGGGCTTGGGGCTGGAACCGCGAATTCAGATAAACTCTCGTATTGGGACTGATCTTCATCCCGAATTTCTTTTCCATTCCTGTATTCCCTACTCACGTCGGCCCCAGATTAATCAATCACTTCCTTTTAAGGGCCCTATTAAAATTAGGATCCCTATTCTAATCCCTACTAAGGGGAGGGGGGTTTATCCAGCAGGGTTCCACATTAACAAACCTAAACTCTAAACCAACATGGAGCAGGTGGCGGCAAGCTGGCAGAAGCCAGGTGCCTGCTCCACCACTTGGAGAGGCTTTGGATAGATGAATGGCGGAGAAAAAGTGGTCGTCCTTGAACTGGATGGTTTAGGGTTTAGGTCAAGGAGCTTAAATTAAGTTGCTGTACCCGACTATGGGTAGATAGTAACAAATTGGGGTTTCCCGGTTATAGTAACTTAACTCAAATTCTTTCACGGCAACGCAGTGGTTCGATGACATGTTTAACATACCCCACGGGCATGCCAGTACAAGAAGTTTAGGAAATTGCCTGTATGCTATTTCCTCTTTTTTCTGCTTGCAGCGGCCCTGAAAGATTAAGCCTATTTGGGCTGAATGCATAGACTAGTTCTTACACTTGAAGCCTCTAGAGGCTTCTCGAGCCCCTTACTCAAGGAATACTCCTGATACCATATCAGGCTTCCTAGCATACTTTAGGCATTTTGCCTGACTGAAGGGATTTTTGAAGCTCCGCATATGAATGCCGGTAGAAGCTTTAGAAGAATGTCAGCAAGCAACTCGACTGAGGGTTTCGGGTTAAGGGCGTAATGCGGTTACACAAGGATTACCAGCTACCAGACAGCTTCTACTAATACCCCTGAGATCAGAATTTTTCTTAAACTATATGATGAAGGCATATGCACACCTTCACGTGCGTAAACCATATGAAGCTCCCTTTCATAAGTTCAACCCCGAAGCCCAAACGGAGGGATTACATAGGGCGCTTGATTGCCCTTAGGAGCATGCTGGTGCCACTGCTCCAACTGTTGAGGTGTTGATGTTCTAAAGGGGTTTAGCGTCTAGAGCTTGTGATGTAGGAGGGATCTAGGCTTTAGGAGACAGGCTTGAGCGGAATATTGGACGCTGTGTAGGGTTTTAGAGTTTATGAAGTCTACTCTGAGGTTACGGGTAATTAGGGTTGCGCAGGAATACTGTACGGACAGTAGCGCGGAGGACATGTGCAACACCTGATGCAAGTAGCGGGTTTTCTAGATTTGGGGCCGCTCATATACCTCCCAAGTAAACACCCTTATCGGCAAAGCACTTCTATTGAATGTAAACACCTCCCCTAATAATGACCCCTGATGATGACGATTTTCCCTAAGCACTGCTGGCACTGTATTGGCGGTAGTCTGTACTAGATTGTACTATGGGGGGGAGAACCCTTCAATGTAGAATTTACTTCAATCACCCTACTAGCCGCATCCGTTCCCAGCGCCCCACCCAAGACCGTTTTAAACCGTTGGGCCCTTAATCCCTAAACCCTAAATCCCGAAACCCTCGGGCCCTAAACCTTAAACCCCAAAGCGGCAGGATGCACCCCTCGACCTTGGGACAGAAGCCACTCGGCAGCCTTTGAGCTATAGTCTAAATCCCTTAAAGCGGGGTTACATAGGGGATTAAGAATATATATATATATATGTAGGGTTTAGGGTGTAGGGTTTAGGGTTTAGACTCTTCCTAAACTCCTTAAAGGGGGTTATATAGGGGATTACATACTATAGTGGGTACTAAGGGGGATACTAGGAGTTTAGATAGTGGCTCAAATTTGCATTTTCTGGTTTCCTCAAGCGCATGAGTCTGTTCGGGGTATCCTTGCCGTCGTACTGACTACGTTGCGTGAGTGCATAGCGGGAACCCTGATGTTGAGAAATGCGGGCTTTGATCATCGGGCTGAATGCTGCGTAGAGAGTCGTGCACGCTCCCTTTTGCACCCTCAGCGCTCCAACCTGAACCCAAATGCCGTGCCCGTGCGCTGGCAGGCCTTTTACCCTTCACGGGCTTCCCGCATTGAAAAGCGCCGGGGGGCTCAGAAAAGTTGACTGCTTACTTGGAGACTCAGTCGTGGTTGTAGTTCACTCCACTGTTCCTTAAGCCCTAGGCCCAGGTAAGCGGAATATGGCCTTCAAAAACACGCGGCCTACTTTGAAGCTATTCCCTGGCTCACCACTACGTGCCAGCGTGGCTAAGTATGGTGGTTTCTTCGTTGGGTTCCCAGCCCCTGATATTCAGGGTACCCAAAAGAAACGGCCATAGTTTTTTGACAACCTACCTGTCGAGGCCTATCCACGCTGGCGGCCATGACGCACAGAGTCTCAGCAGCAAGCTGGTGACAGGCAGCAGACAAAATGGCAGAATGAAAACATGGTTGCGGGGAGCAGGCTGCCCAATAATGTAGGTA